TTCATATCGTTCCCGGTTGCCAGCACCGGCAGTGACTTTTCCAAAAACGCCTTTCTTTTTATCTTTTTTCAGTTTGAGGTTGATCGTTTTCTCATAGTTGCCATCCTCAAACCCGGTCAATTGTGCCTGGTCGCTTTGCTTGTCATACACCTGCACTTTGTCTACTGCGTCAGCGGGCAGGTTTTTGGTAGCGACTTTTGGGTCATTGCCAAAAAACTCTTTCCCATCGACCAGCACTCGGGTGACCTTTTCACCCTGTGCTTTTACCGTGCCGTCCTTTTCAACTTTCACTCCAGGTAATTTTTTCAATAATTGTTCGACACTTGCATTGGGCTGCACTTTGAAAGAGCCGGCATTGTATTGAAGTGTATCATCGATCATGGTTACTGGAGGAGCTTCATTCGATACGACCACCTCAGCGAGTACTTTGTTTTTATCATTCAGGGTAATATTGGCCAGGTCCTGGCGCTTATTATTGTCACTGATGGTGAAGAACAGTTCACGGTTATGGTAGCTGACATGCGATATCAGTAAGCGGTATGAGCCATTGGCGATACCGGTAAGTTCAAACCGGCCGAGGTTATCGGTCATGGTAAATGAAACGAGAGAAGAATCTTTCTTCTCCATCAGCGTAATAGTAGCACCGGCAACTGGCTGGCTGGATATCGTATCAAAAGCAACGCCCTTCACGCTGCCATTCTTCTGGGCAAATGAGCAAAAGGAGATCAGTGACGCGAGAAGGACGAAGTATAATTTCTTCATAGCTGTTAATTTCAGCTACGAAAATATTCTTACCCGTTTGCAAAGCGGGTTAATTTGGTTTGCTTTAATGTTAATGAACGTTAAAGATCAATGGAGTGATTACTCGACCACGTCACCTCTTTCATTGTCATCGCGGTCGCGATCATAAATGACCAGCTTTACTTTCCAGTCCATTTGTTCCGTCTCAAGGATCAGTTCCACCCGGAGTTTACTAGTTGACTCGTTAGCCGGATCGAAGGAAAAGAGCACACTTGAAAATTTCTTGTCTTCAACCGGCGATTCGTATTCTCCTTTTAACTGCATGGACTGCCAGCGGAGATTGTTGAGTTGCCCGAACAGCGTTTTGTATTTCTTCTTTGCTTCGTCAAAATTTTCTGTTGTTAACATGGTAGCCTGCCAACTGCTGACTTGGTTTTTTTTACCGGTGTATCGTGTGATGGTGCATTCTTCCGCCCCGGTAACTTTGAGGTTGCATTGGTAGTCGGTTGATTGGGGATTGTGAATGATGGCTTCACCTTGTATATTGCTGAACCGGTTGGGATAATCTTCAATTACTTTCTTTACTTCGGCAGATAGGTTGCTCGCTGTATTGAGCTTTAATTGTGCAGTTGCTGAAGTGAGAGAGAACAGTGCAATGGTAAAAATAGCAGGTAGTTTTACGAATGGCTTCAT